CCCTGACCAGGCTGCAGAGGCCAGCAGGAGCTCAGGAATCACCCGAACGATCTGTCCTGGCCAGCCCTTAAGGATGGAGGCCTCAGGCTGTGTCCCGAGCCCTGCCAGCAAAACGGGGTCATGGGCCTTTGCTGCAGGCTCGGGGACCTGGGCACAAAGACCCCAGAGGGCTACGCTACCTATCTCTTCCTTTTGGGGTGTCACCATGGGTCCACAACCCTCCGGGCACTTCAGGGGTCAGGGCCACCCTGGCCACACCCATCCAGCCAGAGACGCAGATTCCCTCAGCAGAGCAAACCATGCTGTGAACCTCACCTGTGCAGGATCCAGGCTGTGCGCATCTTTGAATCACTCCACCCACCCACCCCCTTCCGTGGGAAAACTCTCTTCCATGAATTCCGTTCGTGGTACACAAAAAAAGTTGGGGACTGCTGGATAAGGTTAGCCCAGCACTGTGATTCTGGGGTGCACACTGACCCCCGGGGCCTGTGAATGACTGTGATTTCTCTGGAAAGCAGAGGTCCGGTTATATTTGATTGCCCCAAGGAATGGGGAGCTCTCTACCCGCACAGACCGTCCATGTGGACGTCTCTCCCTGCTCCTACGCTGGACTTTTCCTCTGAATCCACCCCCGATGGTCCCCTGCAGGCCAGCATGGCCCTTGGGTGATGAACAGGGCCATTGTGCGACCTCCCAAGCCTGGAGTGAGCACACCTACTGTGTACTCCGGCAGCTCCTGCTAAGGGCCACACTGCACATATCCCTTGCACCAGCTGCTTGATATGGGCTGCTGCCCACTTTACACAGGAGAGGTCTGGGGGACTCCTCAGGTGGCCTGTCTAGGATTGGTCCCCAAGTTGTCTGGCTGAATCTGCAGCAGTTCTGAGCTGTTAGACCCCCCTGCCTCTGCACATGGAAACTGGGGGAGGCTGAGGCAAGAGGGTGCCCCTGGCACAGCTGGTGCCTGGGGGCACAGGATCTGAGGGGGGGTGAGGGCCATCCTGCTCTAGCACCTGGGGAATGAGATTAAAGGTCACCCCCGAAGTGGTGCAGCCACCCCCTCCCTCCCTCCCCCGGGAACCGCAAGGACGCAGCGGCTCTGGCTCAGCACATTTGAAGATGCAAATTGTCGCTGCTCCGCTCCTCTCTCTCACACACAGCTGGCGGGGTTCGGCCCGGTGCCCAGAGATGCTGCAGCAGCTGGCCGCACTGCGAGGGGCCAGTCCTGCCCTGGCACAGGCAGGGGAGGACAATGACGGGACGTCTGCTGTCCTAGGCCATTCTTAGCTCCTCAGGGTCCAGGGAGGAGGGCAACAAGGTCACCCTACTGTCCCCGAGCTAAAAGCAGCTCAGATGTGGGCATGTCCTGTGTGTGGTCACTCAGAGAAGCAATGCCACCACTTGTCCACCATCCTTGGGCAAGAGGACACTTTATTAGTAATAACTGTAGCCAAACCCTCAAAGCACTTTAGGGCTTTACAAACGGGGGTGACTGCTGTACCGGAAGCCAGGGGGACACCAGGCCTTGCAGTGGGGTGGGGAGAGGGCTGCACCCTGAAGGAGGCGGCACAGAAAACCATCCGGGACGTGGGAAGAAGCTGTGGGGGACGCAGGGGTCTCCGGTGTGTACGCAGCAGTCCACCACGTGACGCTGAGCAGACCCTTGTCGGTTGTGAATAGTTCCTCTCCCATCACTGCACACAGTGCCCCCCACCCACAGTTTAAAGGGGGAGGCTTCCACGGGGCTTGAGGTGCAGGGGATTCAGTCCACAGCTGGCTGCCTCCAAGGCAGGAAGGCTTAGCGGAAAGACCTGGCGGGGGAGGAAGGCTGCTCACATCAGGGCAAGAAGGACAGAGCAGAGACAGTAACATATTCTCCCGGGTCACAGCGGTGACAGCTCTTCCAACCAGATCCCACCCACCAAGAGCACATTCAGCCAGAACTCAGCACCGCGTGATCCGCTCACCCACAGGGCCCTGCTGCAGAACACGTGATCTTTGGGGGGCATCTTAGATCTGAACCTTAACGATAGATGTCAGAGAGCCAGCTAGGAACTGGGCAGGGCGGCGACAGGGAGAGAGCTGGGTTTTGGCAATCTGCACGGAGTGATGGTCAATATGGGCCCTTGCTGGTCAGCACCCGGCTCTCGGAAGAGGCCTTCAATCCCCAGATCTGCAGCTTCCTCGTCTGTGGATTCAGTATTTGAAAAACATATCGCATCTGTACCGAGCGTCTATGGATTTTCCACCATCACCCCTTACACAAGGCGGCAGAGCAAACATTTACACAACACTTGCACTGCGTCCATTATGACGAGCAAGGCAGGCAGGATTTAAGGTGCCTGAGAACCCTTAGATTTTGGTATCTGTGGAGGTCCTGGGACCAGCTCCTCGAAGAGGCTGAGAGGCAGGTGACTGCCTGTGTAAAATGTTTCCAATCATGCCTGATATCTCAATAAATAGTGACACAGGAAAACTATTTTTACCACTTTATTATCGTTTTGCAAACCTACCTGCCCATCATTCACTCATTAGCCCACCACCTACTTCATACACCCATTGTCTATGTGTCCTTTACACACTTATTCATCATCCACCCTTCCACCCATCCACCCACCCATCCATCCACCCATCCATCCATCCACCCATCCATCCACCCATCCATCCACCCATCCACCCATCCACCCACCCATCCATCCATCCATCCACCCATCCACCCATCCATCCACCCACCCATCCACCCATCCATCCACCCATCCATCCATCCACCCATCCATCCATCCACCTACCCATCCACCCATCCATCCATCCACTCATCCATCCATCTATCCATCCATCCACCCATCCATCCACCCATCCATCCATCCACCTACCCATCCACCCATCCATCCATCCACCCACCCATCCATCCACCCATCCATCCATCCACCCATCCATCCACCCATCCATCCACCCATCCACCCACCCATCCACCCATCCATCCACCCATCCATCCACCCATCCATCCATCCACCCATCCATCCACCCATCCATCCATCCACCTACCCATCCACCCATCCATCCATCCACTCATCCATCCATCTATCCATCCATCCACCCATCCATCCACCCATCCATCCATCCACCTACCCATCCACCCATCCATCCATCCACTCATCCATCCATCCATCCATCCATCCACCCACCCATCCATCCATCTATCCATCCATCCACCCACCCATCCATCCACCTATCCATCCACCCTTCCGTCTATCCATCCATCCATCCATCCATCCATCCACCCATCCATCCCCCCACCCACTACCTGTTCCTGTTCACTGTTACCCTTCACCCACTCCTCCACACATACCACCCCCCCACCCACTGGAAGCCAGTTCACCAGTACCTCTCAGGAGACTTGACTCTGGTGGCGAGAACCTGCAGTGTGGCTGGGAAGGCCAGGCCAAGCCAGAGCATCATCTGTTAGAACAGCAGCATCTGTGCTAAAGGCCAGAGGGAAGCAGAAAAGGCAAGGCCAGTCTGAACAGACGCGTCAGGCGGGCTTCCTGGAGGAGGCGAGCTTTCACCTCCAGGTTGTGAGCTCCCGTTGTGAGTTCCAGGCCCTCCCGACCCCAGCTGCTCAGCTGACTTGCCCCCCTCTGCCGTGCCTTGTCATCTCCTGGGCTGACGTCGCCCTGTTTCAGCAGTGAGCTTGTACAGTCTCACTCACAGTTCCAGAAGAATAACAAACACTCTGCGATAGAGCCTTTGGGCCCGTGGGGTCCCAGGAGGCTCGGCCCAGAACCGGGCGGGGCTGGCAGGTGGGGAAAGGGCTCTAATTGCAAGCGGAATTAATCACAGCGTCTTGCCTAAAGGGCTTCACACATCATTATCTGCCGTGGGAAGAGCAGCTTTGCCCAGGGTCTGGGGAGAATTAATTAAAGTGGGGTCTGCGGAGCTGGAGGGTGGGGTGCGAGGCCGGTGCCAAATGTGCCCATCAGTGCCAACTGCAAATGGGGACGGACTGGTGCCCAGGAGACCGAAGGCCATAAGGGCTTCCTGCTCCCCCACACACCCAGGTCTGCGTGGTCAGAGGCCCACCGGAAGCTGGAACCCAGGGAGACGTTCGGAGAAGCTTCCGGAAGGGAGAGAGGGCGCGGTGGGAGCACACAGGCACGGAGCTGCGGGACAGTGTCTGGGCAATGCAAACAGCACCAGGGCACAGTGGCAAAGAGGCACAGTCTTGGGAGGTAGGTGGCAGTGGGGCCGGACTTCACCCAGACCCGGTAGGGCGCCATGGAAGGATTTCCAGGGAGGCAGCAGCGCTGGCATCCAGAGAAGCCACCAAAGGGCAGGAGCTGGGGGCCAGAGGGGAAGAGTAGCCCTGTGGGGTGAATCACCAGGACCGCCTGGCAGGACCCTGTCTGAGACCAGGAGGAGCCCGAGCTTCCGGCTCTCCGTCGGGCACACACCTGCCCTGCCCCACCTCCAGCACCAGCCTGGCTGAGGCCTTGGCCAAGGTCACTGTGACCCCACCCATGTCCACCCCGCTGCCCGCCCTCCTCGACATGCCGGGCTCTGCCCCTCGGGGTGCAAGCCTTTGGCCTCAGCGTGCTGTGGGGTGGGCGGGGCGACAGTGGCCTCCTCCCGGGAGTGGGCACAGTGGAGCCATAGTTACAAGCATGTGCCACGCCAGGGCATTTTGTTAGGCCACAACGTGGTGGCCCCAAACTGGCCTTCTTCCATCCTGTACTATTCCTGAACGTGGGAGTCAGAACAGTTTGATTTTTTTGTTTGGGATCAAACTCACGACCTCGCGCTTGCCAGGGAGGCGCCTACACCACTGAGCTAAATCCCCGGCCCCCCTCTGGTATGGTTTTACTTGACAGAAATTGCCCTTTACTTGACAGAAGAGCCCTGCAGGGCTGCTTCGGAAAGTGGCGCCGACGTGGGCTGCACGTGTCCGATGAGCGGGGGAGGACTGGAGGGTGCTTCGCACATTTCACTATAATAACTTCTACTTTCATTTAAGCATTGCTGTATTTTTTTTTTTTTGGTCACACAAATTTCTTTCACTTACAATCAGAGGTGGCAGCAGCCCACCTGTCTGGTGTTCACTGGTTCCCCTGGGCTGGGCGTCTTCATGTGGCCTTGAGACAGTGGTGCATGTCCCCGCAGAGCCTGGCCGTGTCACCCGGCTTGCTGTAAGCACACAGTGATGTGCACACCATGACACCATGGCTTACGAACCCATTTGTGGGCACTTCTCCCTTGCACCTAGCTAAGACCCAGTGTCACCATGGTGTCAGTGTCACCATGGTGTCAGTGTCACCAAGCTGCAGGCCTGGCCTCTAATGGGGTGGCTGGGAGGAGGCACCGAGAGAGCCCCTACTTTGCACAAGGCTCTGGCCTCAGCTGGCCAATTGTCATGGGGTCCTCAAAAGGCAGGGACTGCTGGCCCTATTTCCTGGATGAGAACACTGAGGCTCAGAAGAAAAAAGTGACTCATACAGGGGAACTGCTGCTTAGTAAGAGGCAGAGTTTATGAACTTATCTGGAGGTGTCACTTTTAAATGGGATACAGAGGGGAACAAGGGGTGGATGTGCTAGGGCCTGGGGAGTCCCTAGTCTGTCTAACGCTCAGTTTCTCCACTGCAGCTGGTGCTCACATTGCTGCTCTTGGGCTGTTGTGGCAGGCCATGGGCTGAGATTCCCAGTTTAAGGTGATGCCCAAGATACTCCCATGGTGCTCTGGGGCACAAGGCTGCCCATCCTCTTTTGGCCCAGACTCCGGGACCAGGCACTGTTTCCAGGGTACCTGGGAGCAAAGACACCTCTGGAGGCCCGGGCACTCCCAGTGCCTGGCATTGGGTAGGGGGAGGGTTAGGCCGAGGCTGCGACTCCACTGGGCCTCCACACGGGGAGGGGAAGCTTCTCTGCAGAGGAAGCGATGCTGCTGGAAACGGCTCTGAGCTTGGCAGATCTTCCGATCACCTGCTGTGTGGCCCTGTGGAAGGTGCATAAGCTCTGGGTCCTCCCTGTCCTCAGCTGAAGCGAAATAATCCCTGGCTCATGGTGGGCAGCAGAGCTCATGAGGAAGCAGAGAGCCCGACACAGGCACGCGGATGCAGCTCTGGGCTCTGGCATCGCTCCCTTCCTTCCTCCTCCTCTAAAGCTGCCCGAGTTGGCTGGCTGTGGCCCACCAGGAGCACTCTGGACAGGGCCCGTGGGTGTCCTGGGCCTGTGCCCATGCCACACCCCTCAACCACCTGACCCTGGCCACACCCCGGTGGCGGCGGTGCTGACTCACCCCAGACGCGGCTGGTGGCGGGGGCTGGCCTGGGGCCACACAGGCAACAGCTGCCTGGCCTGGCCGTGGCTCTGCCCAGCTACCCAGCGCTGCCAGCGTCTGTTCTGGTCCTCACTGGCACAGGACTCAGTGCTGGGCTCTTCCTTCCCCGGGCTCCGAGGAAACAGGAGGTTACAAGGGAGCCCGCACCCCACCAGGAGAGTGAAGCAGGAGAGGCCCGGCTGGGAGCCGGGAGCCAGCAGGGACACCGAGGCCTGTGGAGGTGCAGCCAGGCCCGGTCCGTCTCCACAGCCTCCCTTCTGTGCCTTGCTGTGTTGAGGTCTAGGGCAGGGGCTTGGGTTGGGGGATGCACAACCCAGGTTCTAAGCTCAGCTCAGAAGCTCCCGGCTGTGTTGCTCTGGGGACACCTCTTGACCTCTCTGGACACGATTTTGCTGTGCATAAACAAGAACACACAGAAGCAACTTCTCAGAGGGTTGCAAGGGCTCCGGGAGCCCATCTGAGGCCCTCAGAGGCCAGCAGCCCTGCCGGGTAGGAAATCTAACTGGGCCCCAAAAACAGGTACTTGCCGAGTCGACACAGTGCACAGCCTGGACGGGCGGCCAGAGGAGCACACGTTTGCTCCAGACCCAGCCGACAGAAAAGGCAGATCTTACACTCGGGGCTCAAGCCAACCTGGCCAGACCCAGAGGTTACCACAGAGACTGTCCTGCCAGAGCGTCCCGCTCAGCCTCTGGGAGTATAAGGGCACAGCATGCAGATTGAGGCCACTCTAGCCCCTGGGACAGGCTTTGTGCTCTCATCTGCCGTGCGCATGACCTAGGGCTGGACACATGAGCTCTGGACTGGCTGCCAGCAGCTCTAAGAGGCTGGCGCAGAACCCCTGTACGATGTTTCTGCAGGGTGCAACCAGCTGGGGGCTGCTTGGTGAACCTGAGGCTGGACCACCTTGACTCCTGCACTGGCGGTTATCCTGGGGCGGCTCCCCCAGGCTGGTTGAGGGGATGTTGGGGTGCTCAGCTTGCATGGTAGTAATTCTCATCACCTGTCTCTGCATGGGTTCAAGACCCCTCATAGGAAGAATCCACGAGCCATGAGAACAGCTGGCTCTGGAGAATCCAAACCCGCACAGTGTGGAAGCCAGGAGCAGGCTCTGTCACTGTGGGGTAGAGTAGGGACCCGAGGGACTGGTGGGGACGCCCTTGGCCAGCCTTGCCCACCTGCTGTGGTCCACAGATGACAAATCAAGCTGCGTGGGCTGGAGGGAGGCTCTGTCCAGGCACCAGCTGGTGTGTCAAGCCCAGCAGTCAGGGTGTGACCTCAGCATGTCACCTCTATTCTCGCTTGTCACCTGCGAAGCCGATGATAAGGACAGAAAGATTGGCACCCGTGCTCTCGGGGCTTGCCAAGATCGAGCAGATCACCAAGAACAGAGCCTGGGGCTGCCTGAGCGGGTCATCACCAGTGCCAGCGTGCTGATGGGGAAACTGAGGCGTGGGGAGACCCAGAGTAGCACTCAGTCTCCTTGGGAAAGTGATGAAGGTGTCTCCCTTCTGGCGCCCTCCTGGTGGCCGACATCCTCCCCATGAGGAGCCTGGAACACTGTAGAGCCTGACCTCACAGGTCCCAGGACAGTCCTGGGTCCAGGCCTGTCCCCGGGAGCTCTGTCTGTGTGGCAGGAACCCTGCTGCCAGCCTGACAGGAGTTCGCCCCTTTCACTGGGATGAAGGCTGAGCCAGGAGCCAGCTCTGTCCCGAAGGTGCGACCGCCTCCATCCGTAAGCCAAGGAGTGGCCCGGTCAGCGCAGACTCCTCTGGTGCATGCAGCACCCCACGAAACACTCGCCTTCCACAGCCCCTCCTCTAAGCACACGGGGCTTTGGGGACACCTAGCTCTAAACCATGACAGGTCCCTGGGCTTCCTCCGCCGATGGCCGAGACACTCGGCTTTCAAAGGGTTTGAGTGTTGGGGCCAAGTGCTCCCATCGGCTCTTCGCCCCAAGGCCAACTGATCAGCACCCTTAACCACACCGGCACAGCTGCAGGGGCACCCTGGGAAGGAGGCCAGGGAGGGCCGGGCCTGCCGGTGCACTGTCTGCAGACAAAGCCCAGCTTTACCGGAGGGCTGGGAGCCCGGCCTCGTACCCTGGGGAAAGAGGAAGCCGCTCACTGCTGGTCCCTGGGGAGGCAGTGAGGGTACAAGGGGGCAGAGCATGGCTCTGCCAACCATGCTGCTGGCATGTGTGCACAGCACCTGCCCTGGAAGGCTTCGGGGTGCCCAGCTCTCCCCACCCAGGCTCCCAAGTCTCTGGGACCACAGCGGTGCCCACCTACTATGTGCCTGGCCTGACCTGTCCAGCCTCAGGACTGAAGGTTGAGCACCCCGAGGCTGAGGACGTCACCAGGCTCTGCAGCAGCCGGGATTCAAACCCAGCCCTCCTCTGCAGCAGCGCTGGCAGGTATGGGCAGCCCTGTCTGCCTGGTCACTCACTCCTAGAGCACAACAGTGCCCATGGTCAGCAGCAAGGACCCTGAGGGGATGTCTGCAGCTCAGGACTCCCACCTTTAGAGAGCCCCATTTTCACCCCTTTGGCTGGTAGAAAAACATGATCAAAGCATGGGCACCCCCAAAACAAAAGCATCTGCCCCACGGGCAGCAGGACAGCCTGTCCCACACTCCTGAGCCGATGGAGGTCAGTACCGTTGTGACCACACCCTCAACCCGCTCCTGAGAGGAAAGGGCTCTCAACTCTCATCCTTGCCCCGTGTCTTGATGTGGGAAATGGGGCCAGGGGTGGGGACCTCAAGATCTTGAAGAGGAAAAAGGACTGGAGGGGGTTTGGCAGGAGGACTACTCCCGGGAAGGCGCCAAGCCTGGGGACTCCTCCTGCCCACCAGGGTCTCGGCCTCTCCCACGGCCCCTCCCGGGGAGGAACGCCTGGTGTCCTGACTGCTAATTACATGGCAGCAACTTTGATGTGGCAGGTGATGTGCTCAGGAAGCCTGGCTGTAAATTTAGCTTCCTCCCCAGCCAGCCCTTTGAAAAGGCTGCGTTCACCAAGAGAGAGCACTGAGTCATCCCAGGCTGCCCGGTGAGCCGGGGTTTGCGGGGGAGCAGGCCTCCCGAAGGCTGCGACATAGTAAATAAGGACTGTGGATTACCGCGGGGGACAGAGCATGGTGCTCAGAGCCGGGCTGGGGGAGACACCGCGCAGTCTGAAAGCTCTCAGCCCATTCCCAAGCCAGGAGGCCTCACCAGGATCTGTGGGTCCCTATGTGACCCTGAGGTAGATGTGTTCCGGATCAGGTCGCCCTGTGGGTGCCCCTAACCTGCTCCTGCTGCCAGCTCCCACAGATGCCCGCCCCTTGGATAGAATCTATGAGTGTGGCCTCTTATGGCAGGCAGGGGAAAGGACTGTGCAGAGGCCTGAGCTGAGGACCTGGCGCTGGGAGGAGGAGCCCGATGGCCTCGGGGTCCCCCACCCCCGCTTCCATCATGTGCGGTTTTGACCAGAAAGGGCCATGTGGACAGCGAGGGTCAAGAGGCTGGCCTTGTGCCCGGCGGTGGTGCGGCCACAAGCCAAGGGGACCACTGCTACCAGGAGCTGGATGGAAGGAAGCTTCCTTCCCTCTGCAGAAAAGGCCAAGGGAGGTGTGTGGTTTCCCGCTGGGCAGGGGAGGAGGGTGCACAGCCCTCACAGGCAGCGGGAGGAGGTCACACTTGCTGCAGAGGTCGGCTGTGTGGAGTGCTGCCCCCTGCCGGTGGTGCTGGATGCCACGCTGTCCCCAGCTAGGCTGGCACCCACCACGCCCACGGCTCCCGGGGGGAGAGGCTGCTCCTTCTACTGCTCCATGCAGCCCACAGTGCACACACTACACACACTCAACACACACACGCCGTATACATGACCAGCACGCCTACCACACACCTCACACACAGACACACCACACACCCACCCCATCTCACACCACGCACACATGCTACGCCTGCACACACCATACTCCACAGGTGCACCACACGCACACACCACACACCACACCCCCGTGTACAAAGTCTGAACGACACACACAGACGTGCCATCCACAAGCCACACTCCCCGTGACACGACTACAACACAACAGGCACCACACACAATGTACACTGTGCACAGCATCAATACCACACCCCAGGCAACACACTATACCCCCGTGACAGCACACACACACAAGCACACACTCACACCCTTGCTCAAACCCCTACTCACCACCCCTGCCCACTGAGGCCCTGAACGAGCACCCCTGAACCACAGCCCAGGCCCGGGGGCTCAGAGGGCCACCCCTCTCCATGTAGCCAGAAGTGGAAATCTGGGTGCCCTGCTGTGCCCAGCCCCACCCCGGCCCATCCCTGACCCCCTCTGGTCCCCAGCTTCCTCCTCCACATGGGTGGATCTCTGTCCCAGGGGGTTTGGGGGCAGGAAGGACACTGACACTCAGGGAGCTCTGCGCCACGCCAGAGGCTGTGGCCAGGCAGACTCGGAGCCACCTTGCTCTGGGGCCATGACCTTAACCACTGGACCACACGTCCCAGCCCCTAGTGACTAAGCAGGTGTCATCTCCACTCCCACCTCACCTGCTGGGCGTTCTCAGGCGCCCTGTGGAAGGGACCCACTCAAGACAACTGCCCAGGGCACAGCCACAGGAGAGGAGGCCCTGGATGCCTGCTGCCAGATGGGGAGACACAGGCACCCAGACACAGGTGGGCTTGAGGGGTGCGCTGTGTCCTGGCACACCCTTCCAGCTGGGTGCCCCGGTCGCATGGCCAGGCCTCCCTGAGCCCCCATACCCTTAACTTGACAGGAACTCGGGCTGTGGCTTCAGCAGCACTGCGGCCGTGTGGACCCTGGCGCTGCAGCCCGGGTCTCCAAGTCTTCTCCATGCAGTCTCCAAACTGCACTGGCCCGGCTGCTGGACAAACAGTTGCAGGTGTCTGTCCCGAGGTCACCCAGAGAGGTTCAGGTGCAGGGCCTGGGCCTGGACCTCGGGCAAATGCAGGCCTGAGCCTCAGCCTATCCTACTCCTGTGTGGCTCAGAGCAGTGTCCTGCCCTCTCTGAGCCCAGGTCGTCTGTCTCTAAGGTAGGAAGGTCACCACCCAGCGCCCACAGCAGGCAGCACATAGAGCGTCTGAAGGCTCTGCCGAGCGACCTGCAAGGTTCCACCAAAATCTAGGGAAATAAAACCAAACCCAGCATGCAGGAGGCTCCACACAGTGGGGGATGGAGTCAGGCCCGCACCCTTGGACACTAAAGCCCTCTTCCCTCCCAAAAGACACAGGGTCTGCAAGGTCCCCTGCAGGCATATGAGTGGTCCCCAAAAGACCCTCCTCACAACCAGAGCAAAGTGGGGAACAGGGAGGCCGGGGGCCAGCACAGCCTCCTGCTGAAGGCACGGGTCCGACAGGAAAGGGGGGCTGTGGGAGGGAGGGCTGGGGAGGAGGTGCTCCCAGGGAGCAGCTGGACAGGGGCTCCTGGGAAGGGAAGGGTCCTCCAGGCCACTCTGACCCTGACCTTGACCACTGGGTGGAGCTGGGGTAGGGGCGGGGCCTCGGGGCTCCCCGGCCTTGCCAGCCGGCCAGGGCCGGAGCAGTGGGCAGAGGCAGGTGAGCGCGCCGGGGATCCGGGCCAGAGGCTGGGGTGGGCGGAGAGAAGGAGATAAAGGGGCCGCGGGAAAGGAGGCGATGGGAACAAAGGAGAGGGGAGAAGGAGGGAGGGAGGGGAAGAAAGGAGAAAGGAAGGAAAAAGTAGAGGAGAAGGAAGGGAACGAACTCGTGAAGGAGGGAGACGAGGAGGGGAAAACGCGAACGCAGAGGGGAAGGGAGCGCAGGACCGCACACCGATCGCGCAAGAAAACACCGGGAAGAGCCGGAGGCGGAGGGCGAGCGCGCAGCGAGGAGCGGAGATTGCGAAAGGAAGCCGGCGGAGAGCGAGCGAGCGAGCGAGCGAGCAGGGCGAGCGCGGGGGGGCGCGCGAGGGGAGGAGCGGCGCGCGCGGGGGTGCGAGGGCGCGGGCGGCGCCGGGGCAGTGGGCGCGGGCGGGCGCCGGGCGGCGGCGGCGGAGCGCGGGGCGCACGCGGGGCTCGGGGCGCGGGGCCGAGTCGGCGCGGGCTCGGGGCGCGGGACCCCCGGCCCCAGCCCGGCCCCAGCCCGGCCCAGCCCAGCCCGGGCGCCTTCCGCGCCCCGAGCCCCGCGACCCCGAGGGCGCCGGGACAACTGTTGCGGCGGCGGCGGCGGGGCTCGGGGCGCGGGGCGTGGGCAACCCCGGCCGGCAGGCGGCGGCGGCGGCGCCGGGAGGCTCCGGCGGCGCAGAGCGCGGAAGCGACGCGGGCGGCACTAGGTGAGCGGCTCGGGCCGGGGGAGGGGGAGGGGCGGCCGGGGTCCCCCGGGGGGCAGGGGCGGAGCTGGGGGGGGCGCGAAAGGGGGGAGGGTCCGGCGGAGGGGCGGGGTCTGGGCGCCGGGCAGCGCTCGGCAGCCGGCGGGGAAGGTGGGCGCGCGGGAGACGCGCGTAAGGTGCATCCGGGTGCGGGACGCTCTGGAGAAGGGCCCGGGACCCCTGGGCGCGCACTGGGGTGAGGCTGCGGCTGACGGCCGCCCTGCACCGGGGTCCGCGCCGAGCTCGGGACCGCTGAGCCTTGAGAAGAAGGGGCCCGGGTCCGAGAGCAGTCTGGGGCGCATCGTGCCGGGACGCGGCGGCCGGGACCGGGACCGGAATCCGTGTCCAAGGTTGGGACCGACCTAGTCCGGGAGCGCAGCGAGCCGGCTGCCGGGTGCGCGCCGGGCAGGGACAGGGGCCGGGGCCGGGGCCACGCTGCGGACTCGGCGAGCTCCGGGGATCTGGCCGGGGGGTGCGGGGCTCGGATAAGGTCCTCCTCCAAGTGCGCTCCCCTGGGTCCCAGCCCACCCCGTGACCCCCGCGAAACCGCCGCCTCTTTGCCAGGGCCGAAGCAAGATTGATCCCGCGCCCGGGGTTTGGGTGGCCCGGTGGCGGCGGCCTGGGAAGCACCGTGATCGCCAAGGGTTGTCATAGCAACGAGACCCCAAGCGTCTTCAGGTTATATTTATTCTAATTATTATTATCATTATCGGTATGACTATTTGTTAGCCAGCAAGAGGGAGAAAAGAAAGGAGGAAGAAAAGCCAGGGTGTCCTGGCGCCTCCAACTGTTACCTCTTTGGAAAAAGCGGAGCCGGCTGGTGGGAGGCCGGCCGGCTGGCTGGAGGTCTCTCGGCCACCCGGCTGCCTCAGTGGCACTCTGGGAGCAGCCCCTGGCGAGGGGGTTATATAATCCCCCGGAGCATCTCCAAGCGAGCCTGCGGGTCTCTCCCGCCTCTCTGGGCCTCCGGGTCCCCTTGGTTTAGTGGCTGTCCCTGCCAGAACAGGATGGGAAGATCAGAAAGTGCCCTGCCCGAGGCCCCAGGGGCCTCCAGCCCTGGCTTCCCCAGCCGTGTGACCTTGAACCCTTGAACCCGGTTCTCCACTTGGAGCCTCCGTTGGGAGCCTCTGTTGTTTCCCTATCCACTGAGCCCCAGCGGAGCCTTTGCTCACCCACCGGGTTGCCGGGAGGTCACACACAAAACCCTGTAAGTCCAGTGCTGACACCGGGCCTCAGTGTCCTGGTCTGTGAAGTGAGGCCCTGGCCCCCTGGTGACGTCTAAGCCAGCGTCCATCACCCATGGGCTTTGACAGTCACCCTGAGCAGCGGCTGAAACGCTGGTGGACTGGTGGGTTCAGCTCCACACGATGGGCAGTTCCAGCCCCGCTCTGCCCTTTGTTCCTACACCAGATTCCCAGCGACCGAATGTGTCCCTTGGGGACCTTTGGAAACAGCCTGGCCAAGCATGGAAGTGGATGGGAAATGTCACCAAGAATCACAGTCACCTTGGGTCCCTGGTGTCCATGCAGGACCTGCTTCCTTCTCTGGTCCTGTGACTGCTCAGGGCAGGACACTTCCCTGCCCTGACATCCGTGTGCCGCTTGCCTGTCCTGGCTGGAAGTTCTGCAGCCTGGCTGGCCCTGTTCCCTGGAGCTCAGGCTAGAGGATCAGCAGGGGTTTTAATGTCCTGGTCATTCGGGTTTGGCTTCTCTGTCTCGGGCATCAGGGAGGTGTTTGGCCTGGACCCGTGTGTGCCTATGTGCATGTGCATGTGTGTGTGTGCAAGTGTTTGTCCCTGTCAGTCCCACCCCGGTCTTTTGAGCTCCCTGGCCTGGAGCTTAGGGGGACAAGGGGGTGGGATCAGATTTTTGAGGATGAGCAAGTGGCTGGGACTGCCCTGTGAGAGGCGACCCTCGTCACCTGTCCCCGTCCATCCTGTCCTTCCCTCCCTGCCACCCTGGTTGGAGGAAGCTGACCAGGAAAGAAGTGGCCAGTGACAAGCTAGTGGGTTCAGGCATGTCTGGGCCAGCGTGTGGACCTTAGGGACACACACAGAAGCGCCTGGTGTCCCTTGGGGTGCAGGAAGGGCCTGAGTGGAGAGTCTGCAGAGGGAGGAGATGGCTGTGGGACACAGAACCTCCAGGTGCGGCTGCAGCCAGGAGGGGAAGGGTCTGTCCCCCCTGGACCTGAGGGGCTGAGCAAAGGGGTGGCGTGCAGAAGTAAGGAACTCCACCCCACCCCCAGCCTGGCCGAGGGCCTCGGAGTGGGGGAACAGCTTTAGGCTTGGTGACCCCTAGTCCAGGGGCAGCAGGGTCAGTGGCTGGGGACACGAAGACACCAGGGCCTCATCCCCTGGGACGGTCACTAGCCCTTCCTCCTGCCCAGCAGGTCCAGGAGAACATGGGCTGCCCAGGCAGCAGGCTGTTGGTGTCCAGGGAGGGTGGCAGATGACACCAGGTCTGGCTGCCTCAGCTGTGTCCACAGCTTTGCTGACACAGCCTGGGGCGGTGAGTGTGGTCCAGACACAAAGCCAGGTCAGAGCCAGCTCCTGCCAGGATGGCTGGCGCAACCTGAGACCTCACCTGGCTGCTGGAGGCGGACTGCTGGTCACTGACGCGTTTCCTTGGGCATCGCCTCCTTTCTCTGGTGCCCTACCTCTGTTAACCCAGCCCTGTGCTTTGGCTTCCCTGCTGACACACAGCAGATCCACAGAGGTCCTAGAATGACCTGCACTTGGCCCTGCTCCCCAGAGTGGCTTCCCCACTTGCTCTGAAGTTACTCTCTGGAGCCCTGAGAATAGAGGTGCTTGTTTCCCAAAAAAGGTGGGGTCCTGAACACCTGAGCCCAGCGCCCCAAGGTGCCCCGCCCGCCCCAGGCCATCCTGAGCACCGTGCAGCAGGTGCCCCACCAGGAAGGCCCCAGCCCTGCCTGCTCCTCCTTCCCCCCCTCCCCAGCTCACACCTCCCTTGACCCCTCCCTTGACCCCTGCGGGGTGCCCCACTTCGGGACACTGGGAGACTCCCCCGGCTGCCCTGATTTGTCCCCTGCGGCTCCCTGCCTGGGTGTGACCAGTTTAGCACCTGCTGGGGTCCTCTAGCTGGGGCTCTGGATGTCCCTGCTCCGCACTCCCCACTTTGTCCCCTGTCCCCCGCTGTGGCCAGCTTGGGGGTTTTGGGGTCAGGGCCTGGCCTGGGCGTCCTGGGCCTCCTCCCTCCACCCTTGTCCCAGCCTCATGGTCCCTGGCTTAGAAGGGGACGGGATGCAGACCAAACCCGGGCAGCAGCACCCTAAGTGTGTGCACTGCACCCTAATGGGGTCGCTGCTGGGGGGACCCCTGATGGAGCCACTGGGGTGTCAAGGTCACACAGAGAGTTGGACGTCCTCGAAGGCCCAGGGTATCCAACCACACACAGTGGGCATTGCCATAGGCCTCTGAGGCTGGGCAGGGGAGTCCAAATTCTTTGGATAATGAAACCCCAGAACCCCAAGGCACCCTTTTTATGAGCTGCTGCAGGCACCCCCTACCCTGGGCATCAGGTGGAAAAGCAGAAGGTGCCTCCAACCCTGCTTTCCAGGATGTCCCCGCCGGCCTGTGCTACACGCTTGGGTCCCCGTCTGGGGTGCACACCGCCAGAGCCCCCATCTGTCCGCACCCGACCTGCCGCAGCAGATGTGTGCAGATGTGCCTTCTAGAAATTAAGAAATAATGCATGAGTTTCCCAAATTACACCCATTTAACACTGAATTAAGTTCTGCAAGCTCTTAACTGAACCCTGGAAGGAAAAAAAATTTTTTTCTGTTCACACTTGCCTGGAAAATGAGACAAACCCTGCTCTTTGAAACCCCAGCTACATAATCTGATTATCCCTCGCTGGCAGCCCGGGAGGTGCTCTGGGATCTTCGGAGGGAGGGAGGGGGAGGGGGAGGGGGAAGGAAGAGGGAGGGGAGGGGGAGGGGGAAGGAAGGGAGAGGGGGAGGGAGAGGGAGGGGGAAGGAAGGGAGAGGGGGGAGGGAGGGGGAGGGGAGGGGACTCGGCTCCTCCGGCTGAGCGGTTTGCATGGGGAGACTGGGCCGGGAAAGTTTGTCTCCTGCGCCAGCTTCCCAGGCTCCTTTTCGCTGGATGGGCTCAAAATAAAGTGCCGTTTTCTTAGATATTGGCACAAATCAAAAATAAAGGCAAATTCCTTCAATCATCCAGGGCAGGAGTTTCCTCCGAGGCTCCCTGAGCGTGTGAGGAAAGCCACGGTGATTTGGTTTCACTTCGGGCTCCTTCTCTTGCGGATGGCAAAGGGCGGGCGTGCACGGTGGGATTCCCAGACCGAGGGAAAACGAATTTAGCTCTCGATGGTTCTGTTCACTGTGTGCGGGGATGGGGTGCCGGCCCAGGGGATGGGGAGAGAGCAGGGCCCTGCCCTGCTGGGTTTTGTTTGTGGCGTGAGAGCCGCTGGAGAACAAAAGAGCAGGCAACTGAGGGGACACTCAGCTGGAGTGGTCACTTCAGTTTGGATCTTGAAGGGTGTGTAGGAGTGTGCTGGGCAGAAGTGGGTGGGGGGATGTTGGGAAGAGGGGCAGCCTGAGGAAGGTTGGAAGCGAGTCTCACCCGTGGGCGTGGGCGTGGCTTCCAGTGACACCTTCAGATTTTAGTGTGAAGCTTCCTTTGTTAAAGCCCATCCTGACATGTGGCTTTTTGCAAAGATCTTTCCGGACTGTCCATTATTATTATTATTTTTTTTTTGTCTTTTTCGTTTTTATCGGTACCAGGGATCGAACTCACGACTGCCTGCTTGTAAGGCAGGCGCTTATGCCGCTGAGCTAAATCCCCAGCCCCCGGACTGTCCATTATTGCCCATCGTCAGCCGGCAGCTGGAGACGCAGTTCCCTGAGGAGGGTGGAGCCTGGAGTGGCCCAAGTCAGAGCCCCGGGTTTGCAGCCCCAAGCCTGAGGGTGCCCGCCAGGAGCCATGGTGTGGCACCCTGAAAATTCAGTCAAAGAGCACAGCCCAGAAAATCCCTGCCTGCCCCCCAGAGCTCGGCCTGCACCTGCCCTGAGCAGCATGGACTCTGGGACTTGGGTCCTCGAGATCCGCACCCAGGAAGGAGAGGCCTGCGGGCTGCAGGTGGCAGGACAGAGGGGCGCGCTGTGACCCCGGAGCCACTCCATCCTCGTCGCATGGTTGCCCCAGAGCTAGAGAAGGCGGCTCTGCATGGAGGGCGCAGTGGGCACCGACAGGCATCTGGTCCAGTGCGGGCTCTGTGTCCTCACCGTGCCTGTCCCTCTGTGTCACCGCAGGGGTGCATCATTCTGTGAAGGGGCCCTGCAGGAGCCAGCTCTCCTCCCCGGCCCAGGCCCCCAGAGCAGGATTCTGGAAGGAAGGTGAGGAGTTGCCCGGACGCCAGGCGCCGGGGACAGGTGGTGTTTCCCCGGCACCATGGCAACCGGGAGGCGGCAGCCGCTCAGGGGCTGGGGCTCCAATCCGATCCGGTGCGGTGTCTTCCAGGCAGCCGGCAGCCGGTGCTGGGCCGTGCTCCTGGCTCCTGTGTCTCCCTTTCCAAAACAGGTGGGGGAAGATGAGACAGTAGAACTTGCCCAGGTGGTCGGGAGGCTGGGGGGTGTGATGGTCAGGGCACCCTGCTCGGGGACAGTGCCAGTGCT